TGCTTGATGCACGATGGCAGGATTAATAGACACACAGCCGCAGGATGGATGTATTCATTCCCCTTGAACCTTTCCACATTTTGGAATATAAATACTTTACATGTATTTTATTGGAATTTTATGTTATATAACACAAAGTAGCGCAAAATTGTGAAGTGAAAAGAAAATTATACATGGTTTTCAAAATTTTTACAAATGAAAATCTGAAAAAAGTGTGGCGTGCATTTGTATTCAACCCCCCTTAGTCAATACTTAGTAGAACCGCCTTTCACTGCAATTACAGCTGCAAGTCTTTTGGGGTATGTCTGTACCAGCTTTGCACATCTAGAGACTGCAACTTTTCCCCATTCTTCTTTGCAAAATAGCTCAACCTCAGTCAGATTGAATGGAGAGCATCTGTGAACAGCAATTTTCAAGTCTTGCCACAAATTCTGAATGGTATTTAGGTCTGGACTTTAACTGGGCCATTCCAACACATGAATATGGTTTGAGCTAAACCATTCCATTGTAGTTATGTATGTAGGCTGTATGTTTAGGGTCGTTGTCCTGTAGGTGAACCCCAGTCTCAAGTCTTTTGCAGCCTCTAAAAGGTTTTCTTCCAGGATTGCATTGTATTTAGCTCCATCTTACCATCAACTCTGACCAGCTTCCCGGGCCCTGCTGAAGACAAGCATCCCCACAGCATGATGCTGCCATCACCATGTTTCACAGTGGTAAAGGTGTGTTCAGGGTGATGTGCAGTGTTAGTTTTCCGCGAAACATAGTGTTTTGCATTTAGGCAAAAAGTTCAACTTTGGTCTCATCTGACCAGAACACTTTCTTCCACGTTTGCCGTGTCCCCTACATGGCTTGTGGATGGGGACTGCAAATGGGACGTCTTGTGGCTTTCTTTCAGCAATGTCTTTCTTTTTGCCACTCTTCTAATAAGGCCAGATTTGTGGAGTACACAACTAATACTCCCACCTGAGCTGTGGATCTCTGCAGCTTCTCCAGAGTAACGATGGGCCCCTTGGCTGCTTCTCTGATTAGTGCTCTCCTTGCCTGGTCTGTCAGTTTAGGTGGACGGATGGATCGATATTCACTTTATATAAAAATGGTTTATAGTATGTATTCAAAGGCAAATTATTGTTTATTATAGCCAAAAGGCATTCAACAATGCAGGAACAAAAATCCTAAAATTACATTTAACAGAGGACTTGATCAACCATATCAGACAAACCAAAGTACCTCTAACATGCCATGCACTCTTAACAGTAACATAATTTTATAATTTGCAATAAATCATTTGATAGCACATAAGATATATATCTATAGTCAGAGTGGATTTGGATATGTCATAGCTGAAATACCTTCTGAAACAGTCCACTCTTCTTTCCTTCCTCACATCCCATAATGCTTGAAGACTGGTTTTTGTTCCGAATGAATTCTTTGAAGGAAAAAGGATTCATCTCATCTGTACCTCCTCCAAGTTCATCTGAGGCAGATATATATGTGAAAAATACATTTTAAAAAGTAACCATATTTAAGTATATAAATATTAATTTAAGTAATTTAAATATTCCTTACTGCAATTGTTATTAATTGTTGTAACTACCACAATCGTTTCAGCAGATATGCTGTAGCCAAAATCAGAATCATCATTTTGTTATTATAGCACTTCAGTGTTGGCTCCCATGTCATTTTATGCTATGCTGATATCTGACATTGTTAAACAGTAATTGATTCATTTGAAACATAACATAAATGCATCTTAGAAATGCATCAAAATGGCTTATCACTACATATTCTTGCTTATTCGCGGATATATGTCTCAGTGAACAGGCAATAAAATATCAAGTTATTCACACATTTCTTCTTACACGTCTTACCTGTAGCAGAACCTAGGTAGTAAGTGAATTTTTGGCAGCAGTATGGTAAGCATAACAAGTCAATACAAAAACATGGAACAAAAATTCAAGATGCTATACAGGAAATCTCATCCCCTGCAGAAATTAATGTTAGGTCCAACCTACTAACAAAAATTAACATTAAACCTAATGAAAAAAAACATTCGGCACAAAGCTGACCTTTTATTAAACCATTCACTCTGAATCTTTTACAAAATGAAGAAGCAATTTGGACATAAGGAGGTACAGCAGAGCTTTAGAAGCTGAAAATATTAAAAGTGTAGAAAATATTAAAATGCAGTTCCAACAGTAGCTGCTGCTGTCATAATAACCAATTAACAATGCTTCTTCTAATGATTTGAATCTAATCTACAAATACAAATTCGTAATGGTGACACCCAAGAAAGAAAACTAGATTCCAGATCCACGAAATGCCCTGTTACAAACTGCACATTAAATACATTGCAGCGTATTTAAAATGCAGCAGTTCAAATTGTGACCAGGAGCAGAAAGTTTGAACACAAAACACCTGCTTTTAGTTCTCTACACTGGCTTCCAGTTAGGGTCAGGACTGACAGCACTTAACAGTCTAGCACCTTACATCAATCTCACCAGTCATCTGAATACAAGGAATAAAAGTCATGTCCAAGATGTTCTACGAATCTTCACAAGAAAACTTAAGCCTGACTTAAAGGCAATTCTCCGGTCCAAGAAACAACACTGATTCCATTACAAATGTTATTGGTGAATAATGTATTGTTTATAATCTTGATACGGTACATCACACTTCATACTGTACTGTAAAAATATTAGTGTCATTAAAATGACATACAAAGTGATGTGCTTGTGAAACTTTATGTTAGCCTCTAGCCTGTGCCTCCTTATTTTTGTCTGCATCTGGCCCCCAGTAAAAAAACGGGACACCACTGGTAACCAACACCTTGATGTCCAATAGAATGTTGGGTTACATCTCTAGCTGTGTGGAGTTTCAGTCAAGGGAGGTGATGCTATGATTATATAATTCCTTGATAAGACCCCACCTTGAATATTGTGTGCAGGTTTGGTCTCCATACCTTAAGGAGGACATTGCTGCCTTGGAGGGCTACGAGAATGATTCCTGGTCTTAGAGGAATGTCTTATGAGGACAGGTTAGCTGATCTGAATCTGTTTAGCTTCAAGCAAAGGAGACTAAGGAGGGACATGATCCAGGTATATAAGATTCTAACAGGTCTGGACACTGTTCAACCAAATGGCTATTTCAATATTAGTTTAAATACTACAACTCGTGGCCATAAGTGGAAATTAGCGGGAGAACATTTTAAAATGAATTTGAGGAAGCACTTCTTTACACAGCGGGTAGTTAGAGTATGGAATAGTCTTTCTGCTAGTGTAGTGGAAGCTAAAACCATGGGTTCCTTTAAATGAGAGCTAGATAAGATTTTAACAACTCTGAGCTATTAGTTAAGTTCTCCCCAAACGAGCTTGATGGATCAAATGGCCTCCTCTCATTTGTAAATTTCTTATGTTCTTATATGTTCTAATATACATGTAGTATAATGTTTGAACAGCATGCAAATTAATACAACTGATTAAACTTCAAAAATTAATGTGACATATCAAAATTAGGTAACAGCATAAATTATCATGATGCATCACTATCTAGTTACAGCTGACATGCTGTGATGCATTCCGTGAACTGTCAGCTTTATGCATTCATTTTGGCACACATCAACACTAGCTTGCTAGGTAAATATACAATGACACACTCCCTATCCAAAAAAAGGCATCACCTGAAATTAAGTAAGCATGTAGGTAAGAGCCTTCCATTGGATAAGTACTACGGTGCTTAATATGTTTCAGCTGGCAACAAGTTATTTAACCGTAAATGATGCAGTGAGTAGCTTCTCATTTCTTAAACAAGTATGTCAGAAGACATATCCTGTGGTTGTGGAAAAGATGTTATGCTGTATCAGAAGGGTAATATTATTGACCTACATCAGGGCTATTCAATTCAGGCCCTCGATTACAAATCCAGGTCTTGGTTTCAGGTTTCCTAGGTAGTTAGTTTAATAATTACTGATTCTGATTGGTCAGAGGCTTCGCCCCTGGCTCACAGGTGAAGGAAGGCTGGAAAATCAGCAGGGCTTGGCCCTTGAGGCCAATGAGTTGAATAGCCCTGACCTACAATCAAGCAAAGAAAACAACTAAGGAGATTCCTGAACTACTAAAACTGGGTAAAGAACTGGCCAATGCATTATTAACACCTGGAAAGATAGTGGAGAACCATCATCTCCACTAAGTATTAGGACTAAAAAGGTGTTTAGCCTTAAGAAACTCACTTATTGGTGAGGCTAATTGGGGAAAAAAAGCTTCAGTTTGCTAGGGAGCATAGATATTGGAGTAATGGAAAAAGGTATTGTGGTCTGAAGAGTCCAGATTTACATTGTTTCAAAGTGATGGGTACATCAGGTTAGAAGAGAGGTGATGCCTACTGCCTACTGTACAAGCCTGTGGGAGCAGTGTTATGATCTGGGGTTGCTTCAGTTGGTCAGGTCTAGGTTCAGCAAGTTATGTGCCCAAAAAATGAGTTCAGCTGACTACCTGAATATACTGAATGAACAGGTTATTCTATCAATGGATTTTTTCTTCCCTGATGGCATGGGCATATTCCAAGATTACAATGCCAGGATTCATTGGGCTCAAATTGTGAAAGAGTGGTTAAGGGAGTATGAGACATCATTTTCACACATGGATTGGCCACCACCTTAACCCCATCAAGAATCTTTGGGATGTGCCGGAGAAGACTTTATGCAGCAATCTGACTGTCCCATTACAACTACAAGATATTCTATAGCCACATTTAAGGAGGCTTTTTATTTTCAAGTCAAAAAGTAACATCAGCAGGTGGTGCTGGTTAGTTGTGTCATAATTTTTTGGTCTCTGTGGAAAATAATTGATTGGCGATAAGAAAAGGAAGTTACACTACTCAAAAGCAGATTTAAAACAATTTATTCAGGAGATGACCAAAATAAATTTAAATAAAATTGTATAGCTCACACAGCAATAACAGCACAGCAGCATTCTGGGGACAATCTTAGACCCCCCAGGGGACTTGTGCAAGCCTAGAGCGCACTCCACAACAGTCAGAACATTTGCATGCACAGCTAAATCGAGCTACAGTTATAGCTGAACTACAACATTTAATTAGACTATTGTCCTTTTCCCATTATACACAGACCCTCCCGTCCCGTACTTCTTTGTGACGTCATTTCCGCCATTTCCCGTGAGAGCGAAAATGCATGGTTGCTAGCGCGCAAACTTTAAAACTATAGATATTACCTAAATCATAATTAGAATTGTCATCAGAAAAAATCTTTGCAAATAGTCTTCCGATAATTTCCAAACCCCGACGGATTAATCACCTTCGCAAGCACCGACCCACGATCTCCATTCAATAAAAAAGGTACTTCCAACTTTAAAGCCTCAGTCTTCCCGTTTCACGTAAATACAACGCCATGTCTCCTGTTCTGTGTTCTGACTCTGAGTGTCACACCCCGCTCCGTCCGATCCTAATGTGTGCCACGCCCCCTCGTTAACCTCATGTGGAATCCCAGTGTTTTACAGCTGTTTCGGATTGTTGTCATTAGTTCAGTGTATTTAGTCCGCGTTTCCGTTTGTATGCCCAGTTTGGTCATTGATGTTGTTTTGTTGCGTGCTCTGTGTTTTGGCATTAAACTCCGTATTCCCCGATCCCTGGCTTCCGTTCGCTTGCTTTCCCTATCCGTGCTGCACGTACCGTGACAGAATGACCGAACTCCACAAGAAGACACCTCCGATCAGTAAGGCCGAATTCCTCGACCTAACGGACGAGGTGTTATATTGGCTCACCCAGCCCGAAGTCGAGGAGGATCCCCTGCTTCGGGCTATAGCCAGCCGGAGCAGGGACGTCTTAGAGAAGATGTCCCTGCCCGGAGACGCGCACCTTGCGGGGGAGGTGCGCGACAACGTGCGGCAGCTTCGGGAGGGGGTTGCCAGGATATCGCTGAGGCAGGTCGCTTTGGACTGCGGGCTGCCAGACAGCGAGCTACCCGTTGTGCCCCTGCCTCCGCCTACCTCAGCGCGGAGAAGAATGCAGAGAGGCAGAAGACGGGGAGGCGCGCCTGAGGTCTTTTTGGGGGCCGTTTCTCTTTCCGTCGCTTGCCCTGCTGAGCACCGGGAGAATCCCTGTCCGATTCTCCACCCGGCGGTATTCGCGGGTGACATCACCGCCGCTTCGCCCAGGCAGAGGCCCGAAGCCCGTCCGCCCGCCACTTTACTGCCTGTAAAGTGAGGTTCCTGTGGCGCCGGCAGCGTCCCCCGAGGTTCCTGCGCCGCCTGTCCAGACTCCAGTGCTCCCTGTGACTCCAGTGATCCCCGTGACTCCAGTGCCTGAGCTCCCAGCTCAGTCCCTTGCTGCTGCTGCTACGGCGCCCACGGCCCCTGCTCAGCTCCCCGTGACTCCTGTGCTCCTCGTGACTCCAGTGCCTTCCGCAGCGTTCTCCGAGGCCCCTGCTGAGGCGCCCCCTGCTGGCCGCCCCCTGCTGGCCGCACGCCTGCTGAGGCGCCCCCTGCTGGCCGCACGCCAGGTCCCCGCCTATCAGTCTCCCGGAAAGGACAGGGACACCTGCGTCGGGCCCGGGTCCCGCCCGCCCTGCCCCCTGGCTCGCCCGTTCGGCCCATAGCTGTCGCTCGGTGGCTGCCTGCGGGACCTCCGGCTCTGGGTCGGCGGTCCCCTCCGGGTCCCCCCCCGGTGCCTCGGTGCCGGTCCTCGGCGTCGTCTCCGGCTCCATGTCGGTCGCCTCCGGGCCCCCC